CTGTGATACGAAAATCGACAAAGACATCCGGAGATTCATAGATGATTTATTCTGTTGGGCAAAAGTGTGGGATTTCTGGCTGAAACCAACTCAGATCTCTTCTCCTCCTCTCGGGTCTAATTGAAGTGAACCTCTTCTGTCCTCTCATATGGAGATCGATCTCAGCGTACACCTGGGCCCACAGTTCCATTTCAAGGCATTAGGAGTTCGATGCATTGAGGAAAGAACTTCTAAGCCTTGTTATTTTGCTCCATGTTTCCCCCTTTATCATCACATTTCCCCGTTTTAATGAATTGTTCATCTCCACCACCTACTAAACTCAAAGTCCTCACCGCTCCCCTCTTCCTGGCGTTCATTTCCAGCTTAAAAGTAACATAATACTCATGAATAACTCTGCATAAAGGTAGCCAGAAAATTACTCAATTATTATACATTTTACTTTCAGCCAAGACGATGCAAAGATGAGAGATTGGACAGTGTGTGTTTGTGTGTGCATTTATGCATATGTGCATAGTTATTCTGTTTATATGAAACCTGCTAGCCCGCTCTTCATCTCTGCATGAGCCCAGTAGCTTGAGGCTGCATAAGCCGCTACTAGCATAACACACCCAAATTTCAGACTGAACTGTTGGCAGTCGAGTTTGTATTGTGGTTAATGTCGATGCAGATTTTGACAAGGAAGAAAACTTGGGAGTAAAAAAGACTTTGTCTCTGGTTCTGCTGCATTAATTTTAATCTTTTTTTAAAGTGTCCATCATGAGTGTGACAGTGTTTTTAGGAGTGGGTTGCTAAATCAGAGGTCTAATTTAAAAACATTTCAGAGTTTGATGATTGGAGTATTGAAAATATAATGAATATATATAGATAACTCTTCCTGTTCTTTGTTTTTTCTAGGTTGACTGTCTTTATTAATTTCTAAGTTGCAAAAAGTGTAATGGAATATGAGATAAGACACACCATTTCTTATTCCCCAGCAGGGAAATTTGCTTGTTGCATCAGTACAAGGACAGAAATAAATACTGATTAGTATAGAAAGTAACAGAAACTAGAAAAGTGCACTCTCTGCCGGCTCCAGTGCAGATGCCCGAACTGATCGTGGCCACTCTAGACAATTCTTGTATTTTCACCACAGGTTTCAGAAGAAACAAAATAATATAGGCCTACAATGTGAAAATAAGGATAAATGTTTTTGTATTTTTAACTTTTTAATAGATTTTATTTCTGAGTTTTTAAACTTTAACAATACACAAACCCGTGCATAAGAAATACAGGGCAGGAAAAAAAGAAAAAGACAACAAAAATAAAAATAAATAAATAATAATGAAAATAGTAGTAATAATAATAATAATGATGATAAGAAGTTAGAAGATAAACGATAACACATTGCCAGCTAGAGGAAAACAGTACAATTATACGCTAGTTCATACTGTATCCACAGGAGGGTTGAGGCAGAGAGATTGTGTCCGTGGGGTAAAGACCACGAGTGGTCAGGAAAGGTCCAATGGAAACTGTCCTGGCAAAGCAAAGCATAGTGCACAGTCCAATCTAAGGAAATAGTCCAGTGTGGTTAGTCAGCTTGACTCCTCATCCTTTTGTTGTGTTCTATAAAAGGTCCCTGGACTTTAGAAAACTTGCAGAGGGAGTTAGACAGAGTTTCCCCATTTTCTTCAAATGTAGACAAGAAACCATGTCGATAAATGTATTTTTGATAACTAAAACACAGCCACAAATCTTTAAACTATGTCATTTTAAAAAATGATTTTTTTTTTTAGGAAATAACAACAATCAACAACTAATTGCCCTTGTCTCTGAGTGTACCATTACAATCAATTTGCTTTGCCTTGCTCAAAACAGACAAAACAAAACATTAACTGGCTACTTACTTACTTATGGTACAAGCATAAATATCAAGGAAAAATGACCAAATCAGACTAGGTAAGGCTTGTTGCTTTTAGCCGAGCCAATTTCTGCAAAACATGCGGCCCCTACCACCTAATTAAAAGGAGTGAGGAGTCAGCAGTCAGTGACGGTATAAAGCATTCAGAAGTGCTTCACTTGCTTGAGTTTCTTGAAGATGTCTCACCTCTCATCCAAGAAGCTTCTTCAGTTATAACGGACTGGTGCGGAGTCACAGGCTTTAAACTCTGTGTGGGTGTGAACCCTTACAGAGTCGTTGAGGTCACATGTGAGTCGTTGACCATTGTTAAATAGAGGAGGTGGCCTACGACACCACTTAACACCCACTTACAATGCAGTGTACGGATCCTTTTCAGACGACTTAACACGCGTTCTCACCTGGACCCATCTAACCCTACGACACACAAGGTGGGTCAATGACTCACATGTGATCTTAACAACTCTGTAAGGGTTCACACCTGCACAAAGTTGAAAGCCTGCAACTCCGCACCAGTCCGTTAGTACTGAAGAAGCCTCTTGGATGAGAGGCGAAATGTCATCAAGAAACTCAAGCAAGTCCAGTTGCCTACGATATAGCACTTGGGATTACCATGACCTGGATGACTGAGAATCTTCATCGACAGGTATAAAACATTCAATAGGACAGGTTTTTCAATAATTTTGTAGCACAGCAATCACGAGAGGTCCTTGAGCATACGGTCATATGTGTGCACAGTCAGCAGGTCTTTGTAAATAGTCTACACCAGGCTAATGTATGTTATGATGAAATTATGGTACTCAGTGTTGTATTGCTTGGCAACAGCTTAGGTCCATGTTTACTTCCTGTCAGCTTATGCCATTCACATACACTGCAAAATATTCCAACAGGAAATGCAAACAGACCCTTTTAGAATTTTTATTTTAACTTTGAAACGGTGCAAAGCATATAACCTACATGGACCTGTGATATGAGGGGTTTCTGCAGAAATTGAAATAAACCACTATGAACAAAAATTATCCCGCGTGATGCACTTTCCGATATAAACTTTGACCTTGTCAGCGTTTTTTAGCATGGCTCTTCTGTTATTGAATTATTGGCAGCCAGCACATCATTAAAGTGTGCTATCATCTCAATGCACATCCACCACATCCAGCCACCCTCACAGGTAACGCTGTGTAGGCTGCCATCCTCACCTGGTATTAAGAGGTGCTGCATAAATGTATCGGGCTGCTCAGTCACTGCCAGCACTAATGGACCAGGCGAAAGGTTTTTGTTGTGAAAACCTTTTGAAGCGAGATTTCCTCACAATGGAATACAGGTATCAGCAATATAGGACATCTGCGTCTAACCATGCAAACAATTCAAACTTTGTTGTCTATCTATCTATCTATCTATCTATCTATCTAGAACACAATAATATCAGTACAGCAACTTCACAAGGGCAAAATCCAATCTTTCTTTTCAATTTGGATTTTCTTACAGTTTTTCTAAATACAATAAGGTCCTGGACATTTCTCTTTTGTTCTCCTCTCTTGATCGATTTGTTTTTCACTCTTAATCACACAATCAATACATTGCTTAAACCTCTTTTTTGGAGAGCGCAGAGACAAACACCCAGAAAACATGTCTAAAATATTCATTTTCTTTGGTATTGTTATCTGATTTGAGTTTGGACTCAAAAAGGCCTTGTGCTTTGGTCCCATTGTGTTTTCCAGCTAATCAGTCTCAGCTATGGCCATCTGCAGACTTACAGTAATTGTGACTGTTGGGGAAATAACTTCATACTGCTGCCTTTCAAAAGAGACCATGTGTGTGCATGTACTCCAAGTGGTTCAAAAACAGGTTTTAATTTACTTGTGTATGCCTTGTATCAGGCCTGTCTCCTAAAAAATGCATTTATATACAACCAATTTGAAACTTGCAAATACTTACTGAGGGAAATGTATTTGCAGAGGAATGCCGAGCTAATTTTGTTTTCTGTTTACATAATGTAATGACGAAATGTTGCTTATTAACGTATCTGGCGCAAAAATGTTAATACTGAAGGGTGCCTACTAGCTCACCTGGTAGAGCATGCACCCCATGTCCAAAGATGGTGTCCTTGTCGCAGCAGCTTCAATTCCAACCCTCAGCCCTTGGCTGCATGTCATCCCCGCTCTCTTTCACCCTTTCACTCTAAAAGCTGTCCTGTCCAATAAAGACAAAATGAACGTATCTGCAAAATGTTTTTCCAATGCCATGTTTCAGTTATCAGCAAATGTTCACGGACAACATGTTTCAGGTTTTTTTTCCCCACCAAAATAGGCAGTCTTGAAATACAGAATCCACTTGTAGTGACTACAGCGTTATTTTTTGAAATTCTGTTTTGATGAACGTGTAACGTGTAATTGCATTTGTTGCCTAAACCTAAGACAAGAGTTTTTATACTTAGTTGTTGATTAAAATGCAACCAAAACAAAAGATCTTTCCCTTACCTAACTAAAGTTCTTTGTTGCCTGAACGGAAGACAGGAGTCAGGCTGTGAACCTCAAATTCTGGTGTCATGCCCTGCACTTTGTACGCCCACCATCCTCTCCAACTACCTCCTTTCGAAGCCTATGTGAAGTGTTTTGTTACCTGAAGGAAACACCTCTGAACATTATCCCGGCAGTGACTACTTTGCCACAGTGATTACGAGAGCAGATTAGTAACATACAAACGTAATTTCTGGAGGACAGGGTTGCTGGGATTGCCATTTCAGGGGAATTTTAAAGGAACGGTAACAAAATTGGATTACTGGTGAAATGAAAACCTATGGCATGAATACATCAGGGGTACATCCACTTGTCTATCTAAACAATTAGGACAAGAGCTCATTTACAGTGGTGAGTTGACAGTGAGTCATGACTAGCTGTATGCGTGATATCTAAACAGCTGATTATGTCCAACACCAAAATGCCAGTCTGTTGCTGCAAAATCAGTTCATTCCCTTAAATGCCATATGTGCTAAACGAATGTTAAATGCAAGACATTTAGTCGATTCTGAAAGACGTTCTGTCAGTATTACCATTTGACCAAAGGAATGAAAAACAACCTTCCCTCTCTCCTGTCTCCTCTTCTCCAGACACTCTCTCAGTGCCTCGCTGGTCCCCACAGATTCCTCGAAGAGATCTGGGAAACTCAATAAAACACAGGTAGGCCCAAAGGAAAGTGTGTGGGTGAGCGTGTGCGAGTTTGCCGATGTGCATACACTCATACATCTGTGATAGAATGTCAGTCCAATTAAAAAAAGGGCCTCTTGCATAACTCATCTCCATTCTCTTTCTCTCTTTGTCTGTCCCTCTCTTTCTCTCTCACCCTGCTTGACTCCAAACGCTAGTGATCTAAAAAGTAAAACAATACCGTATTAGTTGTGGGATCTCAGCAACCTCCAGAACGTGGGTGGTTTGCCTGCTGAAAGTCAGCGAGGTGGAAAGAGAAGCTCTAAACCTCATCATACGCAGCCAAACTGAGCGCAAATGTAATTTATGGAGCCGTTATTTGAAGATTAAGGCTGGTTTTAAGAGAAATGCCATTATTCCACCCAACAATCTCCTTGACGTGCCGATTTGCATATTTCTGGCGTGTGCCCTTGATCACATTGTTGGCCTGTTACGATAAGTGCATTTGCGTCGCCGGTACACAATGCACCACTTTGGCTTTAGGGCCTCCACTGTGCTGAAAGAACAATTCTTTATGCAGAATCTGCCCTTAATGTCACATCATCGTTCATATGTGACAGCAGAGTCCACTAAAAATCTGTAGGGGTTGGATTGAGTTGAGCCTCTCAAGTGAGGCGAAGGAGGGCCTAATAAAGAGATTTGGATTCTGTCAAACTACATTAGTCACCTGCCATTAGCCAGCCAGCGGCACTGCTGGCGTCCAGGCATTTCATCAGTAAATACAGCCAATAGTCACATACGTGCTTGAACCGCTCGGTCGGTCTGTGCAGGGAATTGGTTGCTACTAAGGAGCACATTGTGGATTTGTTTGTTTGAGAAGTGACTGTTTTGGAACCTTTGAGAACAGCTCAGGCCTCTGAGCTGCCATCACTTGGACTGATTTTTGCATTGATATAAAACCCCATGGCCTCTGTCCTGCGCTGCAGAGCCACTGCCTAAAACTTTCATTTACTCACGGCTGTTGAAAGATGAAAATGAAACGGCCCCAAATTAGATCAGCAGGTGAGGGAGATTAGGGAGGTAAACACTTTTACAGAAGTACCTTCTTCAGGCATCTATTATCCTCTCAGAAAGGTTACGCAGGGAATGTGGCGCCTTCTTTCGTGTAAAGCCGTCTGTCAGAGAATGTTATAAAAAGCAAAAGGTCAAAAGCAGTGTTTCTCCTCACGTTTAATCCACAGCTCTTAGATGTCATATAGATGAGCAACAAGCTGAAAATGGTGTCCTGACTTTTAGAAATGTCCTTATCTCACTCTTTTCTTTTGCCTGCAGGTTTTCCACGAAGTATTGGATGTCCCAGACATGCATAGTATGTGGGAAGGGAATGTTGTTTGGACTGAAATGTAAAAACTGCAAGTAGGTATTGAAACCGTTTTTTGTCTTAGAGCAGGGGTTGGCAACCTTTACTAACCTTTACTTTGTGGCCAAGAAATGTTTTAATAAATCTGTCTGGAGCCGCAAAACATATGAGTGACTGCAACACAGCCTATTTAATCTAAATTAGCCTACAAACATTCCTAATAGGTCTAAATGAGCAGCTTTTCTACAGTGGGCTGTTCATGATTATTTGGTACTTAAACTTTGCAGCGTTAGTGGTGAAAGCAAACAATTCTGTCCACACACTATGAAATTCTCTATTTTCCTGCGAGAAATTTTCTTTTTTGGATTTGGAATCAATAGCTAGCCTCACTGAAGAGACACAAGGCTAGCCATCGCTACTGAGAAGCCGCGTACGGCTCCTGAGCCACAGGTTGCCTACCCCTGTTTTAAAGGGATGGTTCAGATATTCTGAAGTGGGTTTCTATGAGGTAGTTATTCAGAGTCTGTGTATTACATACAGCTGATGTCAGTGAATTCGCCCCCAGTTTGGAGAAGCAGGCAATTTAAGTGTACGCTATATTTTGAACATTTTATTTCTTGTATATTTGCCTTTAGACAGCGATTTCAGAAAGGAAACCGAAGCTGTAATATTGCTCTGTTCAAAGCCAGACTCCATTGAGAGAAATAGCAATTTAATTAACATTACTGAACACAGGAGCTGCTGGTCTTCTGCTGTCTCAATCAATTACTTTGTTTTTCCTATTGACCCTTCGCTAAGTCTCACCCCTGGATGCAGACTATCCAATGATAACGTAGCATCAGGCCGGTTCAGACCAGGGTCCGACAGCAACACAGCTGTGCTCCATTGACTCTAATGCAGTCATTTAAGATTTCCTTCATTTTCAAGCTGGTTATGTGAATTTGGAGCTAAATGTTGAGACTGGAGCACGTAATGTATTAATTTAACTCGTTGCCTGGAGAGGTTGGAAAAAGATATACGTTTCTTTCCTGTTCCAAAACCAAAATCAAACCCTGAAAAGTGTAGGGTTAGCTAGCTAGCTACTGAAGATACAGCCTACTGAATGTATACACATGCTGCTTTTGCTTTTTAATGATTATAACAGTGAAACAAAGACTGACCCTGCTGTACAGGAACCAGTGAAGGGAAGCAGGGAAACTTTGCTGATATTCAACCAGCTGTGTGTCATCGCAGTGTGTGCAGATGAACGCTGTTTTACTTCAGCATTGCCGTTGCTTTACGGGGGTGAAGCCAAACACGGTTCATCTGCACACACTGTGATGCCACACAGCTGGTTCAATATCAGCAGAGTTTCCCTTTATATTCATTGTCTGGCGATCAGCAGTGATGTGGTGGTTCACTTTTACACTGTGATCTGTAGCTTATAGTTCGGCTTTAGCTTCTAACTATATTTGTCTTTTTAACATGTTGTTGCTACTGAGTCAGTTTGACATCCTGGATATATCCTTCAAACAAAGAAAGTAGACCCCTCTGTCTGCTTCTCTCTGGAATCACTGTTTCAGTTTTCCAAAAATATGATAGTATTTCTTCAGGGAGTGCAGTTAGTTAGAGTGTGGGCTCCAAACTGGCTGTGCGCTGACTGCCATTTGCTGTATGTAATTCACTGACTATAGATACTGTAAGTACCTCATACGACCCAGCTTTAAAACATCTGACCCCACCCGTTAAGTATTGTTTATTGCAACAGTTGTGGTAACTTGTGTCTGATTACACATTACACATTATTTTAGTTAATTAGTGTGTCATCATGCTTTTTTTCTTTTTCTTGTTTTTCCAGGTGATGCATGTTTATGAACTCTTTTGTTATTACCTCACTTGAATAAATTAGCAATCTGCATCTCTTGTCTGTTTCGCTACTCGTTCCATCACTGCGTAAATTAACTAAAATAATAACAACAAGACAAACACTAATCAAATTTGCTGTCCTTTTGTACACACTCAGGCTGAAGTGCCACAACAAATGCACCAAAGAAGCCCCACCTTGCCATTTATTGATCATACAGCGAGGCGGACGAGAATCCCTCAAAGGTATTTGTTTTTATGGAACATTTCAACAACACAGCTGCACACACATATTCATCAACATTCATGGTGGAGTCATTTCTTCCTCTTTGTTTTTTTACTTTGGGCCATAAAAGATTAAACAACACATAAATAATGTAAATAACTGTAACCAATTAAGTGCAGTAAAGTTTACTTAAAACTGACTCCACTAACACATAAAACAGCACATAGGATAAGTTAGCCTTAGGCCTTTCTGACAGAAAGTTCTCTCTGGAAGAAATCTTTTTATTTAACCCAAACCATCATCTTTCTCCTAAAACTTAAGGTCTATCTGGCTTAAACCCCTGAAGGCAAACTTCTCCCAACAGCATTAAAACATGGATTAATAACAAAATCATTTAACCATGGTATGAAATTCAGCTCAGTAACAACTGTCAAGGTTCATACACAAAACAGCTGTTTTCTGCTTGAGCATGTTTACATTGCATAAATTAGCCTAGCGGCTAGCGAACTTTATTACATTTATAACTTAACAAATTACATGTATTATTCATTGTTTTTCTTACACAGCATTGGTTTAAGAGCAGTTCAATTAAATTTCAGCCTGCATGCACGTAATTTTGAGCCGAACATTGTTGAATCAGAGCAGCTGACATTGCTGTAGTGAGAAGTTAGCGGAGTGAGATGCTCATCCAGGCAGGAACGTCTGTTTAATCTCGTAACAACATTGCTTACATATGGCATGTGCTCTGTCAGGTGACCCATAGTTTCTCCATAATTGAAAATATTTCCACACTGCTAATTTATTCCCGAGTAAATAACATTATCCCCATTGTCTTTCTTTCTGCTGCTTGTCATCTGCCTGCTGCTGTTCGAGGGTGGCACAGGCTTTCAAAATAAAAGCGTATCCTAAAGATGACGATATAGATGGATGTTTTCACTTTGCATCGATGTTTCTGGATCGTTGATCATTGAATCGATATATCAATCCAGATCGATGGGTTGTTACACCTGTAGAATTAAAGCCATATTTTATTTCATAGAACAAAACGTGATAGTCTGCACTGGTGTTAAACACTGACCTTATTTCAGCCATCTAACCAAAATCCCATTCAAAAAACCCATTGACTTCGAGAGGAGGGAACAGGGAGGGCTAAAATGCTAACTCATATCTGGGTTTCAGACTCATTACTCATTGTATTTTAATGTTTAGTTTTCTTATTTCTGCACACAGAATATGTGAATAGCCTTTGAGTAGCTTAAGTATTGTACTCGGTGGTGAAGATTCTCTGTCATCCACGTCATGGTAATCGTAACTGCTAATATCGTAGGCAACTGGACTTGCTTGCGTTTCTTGAAGACATTTCGCCTCTCATCCAAGAAGCTTCTTCAGTTCTAAATGACTGGTATGAAATTGCAGGCTATAAACTCTGTGTGGGTGGGACTCTTGCAGAGTCGTAGGGGTCACGTGAGCTCTTAGTTTCATTAAGGTCACAATGTGAGTCATTGACCCACCTGGCCACCATGTGAGTCGTTAGGGTCAGGTGGGACCCGGGGTGAATGGGTGTGAAGTCGTGTGGGGAGGGATCTCAAGACTGCATTATAGATGGGGGATAAGTAGTGTCGTAGCCACCCCCTCTGTTTAACGATGGTCATTCCAGCTTGACGTAGATGGCTTCTTTTACTCCTCTTTCAAACCATCTTTCCTCCCTTAAGTATTGTAATGACAAATTTGGCAAACAAATGTTTAAGCATACGTTTTTTCAGTGATAACATGTATTGAGTAATTGTTTCAAAAAGTAAAAGTTTCAAGTGCCCTGACCAGCCCTGGTCATTTGTAACACCATCCCAAACTGAAGGTCAGAACCGGCCCTAATACGACAGCCTGTTACAAAGAGAAACAGCTCATAAATTAACTGTTTTCATGTGGATATTAAATCAGTGGGATAGGACAGGAACTGCTGTCATGATTATTCATATATTTGAATATGTCCTTAAAGCAACCGAAGAGTCCCCCTTTTAAAAAGTGAAAGAGTCTCTGCTGGTTTAAGCAGATAGAAGGTTATCTGCTGATTAATTAAGCCACTTAGGTTTGACAAATGTGACTGCGTCATGCACTGTTTGTACTGATACAGACAGCACTGAAAAAATTGCCATTATCTGCTATCAGAAATGAGATTCTTTTGTCCTTTGTCTGCCTTCCCCCCTCCTTTTCTTCCCCCAACAAGATCACCAAGGAACAACTCAAGGTAAAGAACGCTAATTATACTTCTTCTGCTTTAGTAAGAGAAAGTGACAGTTTCTTAATGACATAGTTTGCTTAAGGAAACTTTTTTTCCTTAAAGTGTCTGTGCAGATAACAAATGGATGGTGTTTAAAAAAGGGCAGTTTGTTCATTTTTCACATTAGAAGCGGTGCCTGATAAAGAGTTTCTTCTAATTTTCCTGAAGCTATTAAGCAAGTATTGTTTCATTTCAGTCTCCCACAGTGCTTCATTGTTCTTCTGTGCTTTTTTGTTGTTTTTTTCTGCAGTAGCTCGTCTGGTACGGACTGAATCAGTGCCATGTGACATCAACAACCCGCTCAGGTACACAGACCTGCACATCAGTCAGACGCTCCCCAAAACCAACAAAATCAACAAGGTAAGCGCAAAAAATAAACTGTGTATTACAATCTGTGCGTAACCTGTCCTACATATCACATTCTTCCATTTTGGGGGGCTGGAAAATGGTTATGAGTCACAGTGTCTTTCTCAGGGGATCATGAAACTGTACGAAAATATCTTCAGCAGTATTGATGTTTACACAGATGGATTTGTTTTCATACAACGATTTTTTTTGCAGTCAGCATATCTAACAAATTCTCAGCTCCTGAGGAAAAAAAGTTTATCACAAGATTCCCATGGTGGCACCACTATGATGGAAATCTTGTGAACCAAAAGTGTTAAGAAAGAACGTGCGTGTGTGTGTCTTTGTGTTTATGTGAAAACAACCCTTTAAAAAAAGCATAACTTTTTGTATTTGTCTTGCTGCTAAAGGATAACCAGATCATGTGAAAACATCTTTGTATCATCTCTTATGCTCAGTCTTGTTGCTCGTTTTCCCAAAATGTCTAATATCATGACAACATTTATAATGTTTTGTTAGATTGTCACGTTTTGTTGTGACATTTTATAATTCCCACTGCAAGTTAAACAAACAGTACATAAGCGTGTGACACCAAAGAGAACACTGAAACAAAAATACACTTTTATTCCCAAGGTTGTGGGTTTCCAACCGAATCACCAGAATCAATATTGGCGTTGTACATCCCTGCAAATCACACATATGTAACAACTGTACTTTACATTTCTTTACTTGTCAACAACACTGTGGTTAATGTGTGGTTATGTTTAGGGACAACAACCTCTTGCTTATGGTTAGGTAAAGATTATATTTTGTCTTAAAATACCTTATATTGGTGCCACCATCAAGGCTGGAAAGGCAACAATGTCTTGCTAAAAACACCTAGTTTGGTTGTTTGGTCTCAAACTGTAGTCTGCAATGTGCCAGCTGCTGTACCCAGGTGTCCATCCAACATCACCTTCACCTCCCGATGACAAAGTCAGTCCATGCATATACATGTAATCACAACTACATCACGTTAGAAACCTCGGTATTATACGTGTGAAACAAACATGCAGACAAATGTAATGTATCTGTGGTTTGCAAAAATGTTCAATGCCAGTATTTTCTTCAGGTAGCTGGGCTGGGGTTTAAAATTCAGACCTTGAGGGGTTTCAGGGTGGTTTAGGAGATGAGAAGGTCATTCCTGAAGAGGAAAGCCAAGATTCCCCAGATTTTTTTAACCTAAAAAAATTAAAACACCTAGAATCTGCCTATATCTAATTTAAGACGATCCACTGTCTGAAATTTATATTTCTGGTATGAGATAACCTGCTTCAATCTGCAAAAGCAAATCTGCAAGTAGAGTTGTGGTTTGTTTAGGTCAATTGATAGTTCATCAGAAGTCCCAAAAATGCAGCCTACCGCAAAATTTGATGTAAAGATAAAATAAGATGAGATAATCCTTTATTAGTCCCACAGCAGGGAAATGTATAACAATACAGGAGCAAACTGTTAGTGCAAACAGGAAGCATCAGTAAAAACAAAAAGATGTAATATAATAAATATGTATCAGTAAAATGAAACACAGATTAGTAATAATAAGTAAACATAAAAAAACCACAGAGCAATAAAATAAATAAGCTGCAAAAAAAAAAAAAATTATGAAATACAGGCTGAATGGCTGATTTCACATTACTGAATGATGGAAGTATAGATATTTCTCACTTTAGCGTATACTGATATTGCACCTGAGTAATGATTGTCCACATTAAAAAAATAAAAGTGATTCAGACAGGCTGAATGGCACGGTATACGTTATTCGACGTATCAAACGTCCTAATAAAGAAAATCATCTGGAAAATATTTGATAGTCTCAAATATGTTCCACCTGGCCAGAAATACAGGAAGTTCAAGTGTTTGAATTCATCTTAAAATATCAAAATCTTTCTGTTTACATAAAGCATATAATCCCAATTACCTATGATACAGGAGTTTGACTTACATGCTAAAAAAATAGTATTTTTTTTATGTTTCTCAATTATTCATATTTAAACTATGAGGGCACTCAGACCTCTGCCAAGGCCAAATGCCCTTTTACAAAATGCTAACAAAACTGTATCTGCACATGATTCAGATCCAAAATTTAACAGGGGACTTCCTTGGCCCGTGCTGCACCCTTCCACCAAGTTTCGTTAAATTTAAGACAGTAGTTTTTCCGTAATCATGCTAACGAACAAAACTGTTGAATCGAAATATTGCCGTTTTATTACTGTGCAACATTAGGATGTGAACAAAACTTCAACAAATCATTAGCTCAGAAGACTTTTGATTTGGTTGTTTGGTGTTTGTATGTTTATTAAGAATATTTTTAATCCAATGCCAGGTTCTGAATTTTGCTAGCAGGACTGCAGTTTAGTTTACATTGGGATAATGCGACTTTCAATATTGTGTTCAAAGCATGCATTAAAATTGCCTTGTGGAAACGGTCCACTGTTGTGTTTTATAACGGCGAGCAGTGCTATTCACAACTACTTGTTGTAGTAACTTATTGGATTTTTAAATAGAATCAATTGTCGTGATAACAAAATTTAGGAAATGACAGCACTACACCAAACTGCACTACATTACAACAATTGATAGCACTGTCTGTCTTGTTAAGCACTTAAGACTGTGTTTTAACACCTGGAGATCTGAGCATCTGGCAAAGTGGTTGGTGAATTACTGGTATCGATCAGTGAGTCAGTGACTCAGTGACTCATTCATGTTATGGTTGTTTGTTTGTGCTTTGGAACAGTAAAACCGTACTTCATTTAAACTCAAGGATTCCCTTTAACTATAAAGAAAATAGAATAAGGCTCAAAGCATCTAAGATTCCTTTCAGACTGGGAAACAGTTATGGGGCACACAGAAGAGGGGCAAACACGTCAATAATTTATTTTGTCAGTCCATGTTGGTGTTATGGCCATTTGCTGCTTCCCATACTCCTCCTTTCGACAGTAGAGACTTTATGCTTGAGGTAGAGACGGACCTCCGTGTATTATCAGTAGTGGTCGATAGCAATACTGGACAATGCATCTGAAGTATAACAATAAAAATCCATAACCAGACCCAGACTTCCTGTTGGATTGGAATTGTTCAAAGTTGGATGTACATGCACTAAGGCTATGATCTGTGTGTGTAGAAAACCCAGAAATCACCAGTAAACTGCACTCTCTGATATGAGTAGAGTATGTGCTTGTGTAAAGGACGAAACCAGCCACAGATATGTTGATACAACCGCTTTCTCTAACTTTCTTGCTGTAATTTGTCACATGATAAATCCCTTCCAATTTTAGTTCATTCAGTACAAATTGCGTATAGTTTGCATCATTTCAGACCATTTGTTCAACAGATACCCTACATCTTCTTCAGACTGATTTCCCACCTTCAAGGCAGCCATTGATTTCCCTTCATTTCAGTACGCAAAGAAAATCATCTCGGCGAGACTTGGAACATAATCCATCAAATGGTCTTTACTTTTTATCGTCGTATTGCAAACCTCAAACTTTTGGTTATTCAACGATGCTCTGACATCTTAGAAATAAGAGATGGCTGCTTTACAGAGGAAAATTGGTCTTTTTCATGCCTTCACGCCGGCGAGAGCTGTGGTTTGTTCGTCTGTCCATCCATCCTATTCTTGTGAATATGATATCTCAGGAACGCCTTGAGGGAATTTCTTTAAATTTGACACAAACACTTGGACTCATTGATGGATTTACTAGATTTTGGTGGTCATAGGTCGAAGGCCAAGGTCACTGTGACATTATCTGTCTCATTTTTGTGAATGCGATTTATTCAGAACACCTTAAAGGACTTTAGGAAAAAAAAATGTGCACGAACTTCGACTTTATGATGAAATGATTTGATTTTGGTAGTCAAAGGTCAAGGTCAGTGTGACCTTGCATTGCTCTCATTCTCGTGAAAGTGATATCTCAAGAAAACCTTGAGGTAATTTCTTCAAATTTGCCATAAATATTTACTTAGACTCAGGGATGAACTAATTAGAATTTGGTGGTCAAAGGTCAAGGTCAACTTGACCTTTCAACTATCTCATTCCCAGGGAAGCAATATCTCAAGAACACCTTGAGGTACCTTCTTCAAATTTAGAGCAAATGTTTACTCAGACTCAAAGATTGAAGTAATCTGACCTTGCATCAGTCTCATTCTCTTAAATTTAATATCTCAAGAATGCCCTGAGGGAGTTTCCTTAAATTTGGTACAACGTTTCACTTAGACTCAGGAGTGAACTGATTAGAATTTGGTGGTCAAAGGTTAAGGTCAATGTGACCTTGCATCTGTCTCAATCTCCTAAATGCAGTACCTCAAGAAGGTCTTAAGGGAGTGTCCTCAAATTTGGTACAAACGTTCACTTGGACTCAGGAGTGAACTGATTAGAAATGGTGGTCAAAGGTCAAGGTCAACTTGACCTTTCATCCGTCTCATTCCCAGGGAAGCAATATCTCAGTGTTGACCTGCTCTCCTCTCTCCTTCATCCAAAAACACCCGGTAAACATTTTATATGTTACTCCCCTCATCCCCTGGGCTCAAACGGGGACGTAACAAACACCTTGAGGTAATTTCTTCAAACTTAGCGCAAATGTTTACACAGACTCAAAGATTGAACTAATGTGACCTTGTATCAGTCTCGTTCTCGTAAATGCAATACCTCAAGAATGCCTTGAGGGAGTTTCCTTAAATTTGGTACAAATTTGTAAAGAACGGATCAGAATTTTGTGGTAAAAGGTCACTGTGACCTCACAAAACAACATAACTCAGGAACTCATGCATGCTAATTATGACAAAAACATACACAAACGTCTACTCAGATATTATGAGGAAGTGATGAGATTTTATCTCCAAAAGGGTCAACATAAACTTCACTGTCACTGTGACATCTTAATGTAAAAAAAAAACCACTTTTCTGGCCATTGCACAGCGTCATATCTCAGGAACAGAAGGGGAGACATTTGGTCAGATACTAAATTGGTGACACTAATTTTGGGTGTCCACCTTAAAAGTGTGCTGGTTGTATAGATCCTCTGTGTTGCTGGGGGGAAGATGTGTGTGAAGCATCCATGTTTTCACAGACATGGATGTGTACTGTAAGTCCAACTTGACTGGATCATTGAGGGATACAACCGCAAAGCTGGAATTTTAGTTTTGTTTTCAAAGACAAACAGTTTGTCTTTTGGATTAAAATATCCAACAATGTAATTAATAAAGTGTTTGTTTCAGCAGAGTATTTACAATAGACTTATTGAAAGAGACTTATTGAAAAAAAGTGATTATTTTTGAGTGATTACTAGGGAAAAAAAAGTGGCACACAAACAGCCTTTGGTTAATTAGACTCCATTATTGAATTATTTTATTCAGCCATTATTTGAACTGAAATTGGATGGAGTCTAGACAGTGGTCGTAATGTCTCGAAATTGAGTTTGGTAACAAAGAGACGTCTTCAGAAGTAACATAATCAGCTGAGGAACTGAACAGATGTGACGAGGAGAAGACTGCTGAGAAGCTCATCGGGCTAGACCTGGAGTTCAGTGTGGAGCTGCTGTAATGAACATAGGAAGTGGAGACTGTAAAAGCATCTTGAAGAACTGCTTTATATTCTTGCAGCAATAATGACTAATTAACTAAGATCCTGGTGAGATCAGAGAGGTTAAAGAAAAAAAAACTGGAGCACACAGTTAGCTGATTGAGTGAAATATGCACAAACACAAGAGTAAGCATGTAACAGGAAGGACGCAATGTTGTAGCGTCCTTGAATGCACCACTGAGTGTAGTCTTGAAAATGCTTCCTGTTTCCTAACTGCAGCGCCACACATTGACAATATAACTTTGTCAAAAAAAGTAAAGGCAGCATATTGCTCATTGTGATGGATCACCTCTGTCGGGCAAGTTTCACGTCTCCGCGAGTTGATTTTCATATTGTACTGAAATTAATGGAAACCAAGCGCTGCCTGGAAGGTAGAAAATCAATCTAGAAACTTGTGGTATGATTCAAAAAGAGGCTGACAATAAAGTGGAGTGCAAGCATTTTATAATCAACAGACTAAACTTGCAAAATAACGGGTATGGAGGTTTAAGTAAAGCTTCTCTTGTTTGTCTTTTTCCCAGGATCACATCCCAGTCCCGTACCAACCAGACTCCAGCAGTAATCCCTCATCCACCACCTCCTCCACCCCGTCCTCCCCGGCTCCTCCTCTGCCCAGCAGTGCCACGCCCCCCTCGCCACTACATCCCTCCCCGCAGTCGGCGCGGCAACAGAAACAGTTCAACTTGACAGGTATCAAAATGTGCAAGACCTGAATAACAGAGAAAGCACTAAACCCTTTGCCTTGTCTCATAATTTAAAGGATATTGATCTGATGTCAATGGATAAACATCCAAAAATAAGCTTGGGAAAACAAGAAAAAAGAAATGTAACTAAAGATTTTGCCATTATGACAACAGGGCTCAAGTTGTAGCCTGCAGCTAACTCACCGACTCCATGGCAACTTTATACTTCCTGGTTGCATCCCCCAAATCATTATGGGAACTGTGGTTCCAAAAAATTTAGAACATACAAATAAAAGCAAGAAAAGGAAAAATAATAGAACTGCAAAACTTGTTTACACACAGATATCAGCTCTGTGAGGCTCTATTTTATGTAGGCACAGCCATGCTTTGAGCTACATTTCGTCATGCTAACATGCTCACAATAGCTGTGTTCGAAATCTCTCCCTATCACGGATATAGTGCACTATATATTGTGTTCGCCATTTTGTAGTGTTGTTTGAATTCTCCGCAGTTAATTTCATTCACTATATAGTGGACTATAAAATACCCACAATGCACAGCAAATGTGAGTGAACAAATGACATACCCTACATTTTACTCCCGTATACCACAATGCAATGTGGTCGTCTTTTGCCAGAGGAGAAGAAGAAGAACAACCACAAAGATGGCACAAAAAGAAAAGAAACTAATAGGATGCTAGCCAGTAACATTAGCCCTCGAGCTAACAATAGCCACTTAGCTCGCACGAGCCAGGTAGCTTGTAGCTTGTGCACTATCGTGGGCTATTACAGCTCACAATGCAGGCACACGACCGTAGCTGACAAAACCAAACGTCCACACCATTGAAATTTCAACAATTTATTGACAAAAAGTACAACCACCATACAGTTTGATCATCCTCAAAGCGTCCGGTTTGTTTACATGATGCTCGGTGCGTCCACTTGAGTCATAGGAGTATGCGGCGCAGCTACTGATGCAACGACGTTCAGAAAATTTCAGTTAGTGTCCAAAATCTCATTCAGTCGTTCCCCATGTAGTGCACTATATAGTAAACACGGAACAGGGAATAGTGAGTGAGTGAGTGAGTGAGTGGACAGTTTCGAACACAGCTAATGACAATGCTAACATGCTGATGCTAAGCATATATATTGTTAAGAGGATGAGCATGGTCAACAATATATATTGTTGACCATGCTCATCCTCTTAGCTTAGCACTCTGTCACAGTCTGCCTCTGATTGGCTTACTTGGACACTCCAAACCTAACCCTAACCAGTCTCAATGCTTGAGCTAAACCTTACCAACTCAACGAACAAAGGCAATGAGTAGTAGCCAGTCAGAGGAAGAGAAGGGCGGGTCATGCCTTCACTATCTTTGAAACATAAATCTGGCAGTTCAGGGGATGTTTGTGGTCATAAACCAAAGTATTGATAAGCTGAAATCTTGACCCTGGTTATGATGCTTGATAAAAAGTTAAGAGGATACAGAGGAGGGCAATCCAGGCACTCCAAAATATAGAAGAAGAAAGGAAATATTAAAAAGCCTTTGTTGTAGTAGCTAAATCATAAAAAGAGCCAACATGTTTCGACCACTGCAGGTCTTCGTCAGGGCTTTCAAAACAATGGAAAATAAAAAAAACTAAATAATGGAAAAATAAGTCGATGAAATGCAGAGTGACATGAGATAAGATACTCAGAAAAAATAAATTTAAATATATACACACATATCTTAACCCACAGGCTGTGAATAATGACAAATCACAAAAAAAGTCAAGTCTATATCCTCATTGAGACCAGGAAACGTTAAAGCATCCAGTTGACGGGTCCAAAAAGCTTCCCTTCTATTAAGTTTCTGTACTCTGTCACCCCCCCAAACCAAAAGTTTAATGTATTCAGTGCCCTCTATGTGTAATAAGGAATCATTACCATTAGGAAATTCACTGAAATGTCTCGCAATTTCTTGTTCCAAGGCATTTTTATGCTCAGCAAGGATCCCTCGAGTGTCTTTTTGTGCAGCCTATATAAAAAAAAGCCTTCCACACATGGACAAGTCAGATAGTAAATAACAAAAGTGGTGCTGCATTTTTTTTTGTTTTTAAGTTCTGTTTGTGTCCACATAATGTTTAGTTTGCATAACCTTGTCACAGTGAGGACAATGCATACATTTAAAAGTGCCAAAAGGTTCAGATAACCTACTGCTTTTTTTGTCTGCTGGAAGATGTGAATGCATAAGTCTGTCCCTAAGCGTCGGGGCGCATTAAAATAAAAAATAGGGGGTTAAGGAAAGACTTTGCTCCAGAAAGCATCACTCTCAATAATAGCCAACAAAAAGTTAAGAGAAATCGCAAAAGTGATAACAGTTTATCCTAAAGAAAACATGAACATGTGGCAGATCAGGCAATCCACTGAGACATTTCACTTAAAACCACGGATGTCAATGTTATGATGGCGTCAGGGGAAATGCCAAAAGTCAGGAGGATACATGTGAACCATTAATTGTGTCCACAGAGCTGTGTCACTAACCAAACTTGAACAATTTCATGTGTCATAAAATGAGTCATTTACACTATTCATAGAACATGGGCAACTCACGTTCAACTCAAATGTGCAAATTAATTATATTTCTGAGTATCCCAATTTATTCAGAAAATAATAATACCGCACTTTATATGGCAGGCATGGCTTATTCATGTAGTGCTAAAAGCCTGTAAATAAATGGAGTGAAAACCGAGTATAAAAGACAACATAAATCAACATACATTTAGGAAATAACTTTGTGTGAACTTTAAATTTGTGCTGTGAAGCAACACTGCGTCTTATACTCTGTATATGAACTAATTTAGGTATGAAAGGGGAATTTCAGCCATGTCAGATTGGCACTTCAAACTCAAACTTCAGCTCTACTTTTGTTTCTCTCCGCAGCCTCCAGTTATTTCAAATACAAACAACAGTTCATCTTTCCTGGTAAGTACCTCATAATTGATCATTACCCTTACCCATAATGCACTACAACCAGCCTTGGAAAAGTACAAAGGAGGAGGGCTCTTTTGATGTTGGTGTTGATTCTCGTCTCCTCACCTTGGCCTGCTTTAAAACTCTCGGCCCCTACGCCCACTCGTTGCTTGTCTCATTTGGGCCTCCTAATGATTTGTCAATGCCCAGACTCTTTGCTTTGCCCACACTGGTACCACACAGTCTTTGCTCATTTGGCAGCTTATTACAGCCGAGACAACCTGGAGTGGTGTGAGGAAAAGAATGAGATGTAATTGAGATCTAGAGAGACAGGTTTTTGGAAATGCATAAATATACAGAGCACAGCGGTGCCCAGGTTCTGATTATTGTAGCCACACATGCTGTTGTCTGTTTTTCAGCTAAATTACATCAGCTGCCTTAATGAGCTGCATAACAGCATGGTCAAACACTACCACTTACTGTTAGTCCCATCAATCTAAAACCATTATGCTGTAAGTGGAGCTAATGCCACATTCACGTCATATTAAATTTACTGTAAATGCTGGCTATTGTTTAAAAAAAGAACAGAAAACAAAAACACATTTACATAAGCGTCCCAGGGGAAATTATAATATGATTTAAAAATTATTCATCGATTGTGTTTACACAAGTGCTCATTTTTGGTGTCACAGTAGGTTCGAGAGAGTCCCAGCGCACATTTTTGGGAGAAAGTAGAATTTCCCTTCAAAAGTTGAGTCTGTCACAGGCATCCCAGACACAGCAACTGGCTCACATTCACACCATCATCCAATTTAGAGCCTCCAATCCTCCTGGCTTGCTGGTCTTTGGAGTAAATCCATGCAAACATCCATGCAGGCACCACACAGAAAACAAAACCACGTCCCTCTCGCTGTGAGGCGACGGTGCCAGCTACTAATGCACCGTGCCACAAAGGGAAGGGTTTTTTTTTTTTTTT